TCTCATCCCATTTTATCAATTGCTATTCCGTTTGGTGATACTATACCTAAACTCCCTTTGGTATATGACTTAACAATAAATGCTAATACCCTCAATGAAATACCTGAATCAGTGACTTCTTTACAACTCAATGGATGTGTTATTGAAGAACATTTAATATTTCCTGAATTTAAAAATCTTTTACAACTTACACTTTCTCGTTGTATTCTGAAAAAACAATTTCCACTAATGACTTGTTTAACTTATTTAAATTGCAATAAAACAGAACCACCACCAATTGGTGATTCAATTAAGAATTTGTCTCTTGCATTTATTTCACTAGAACAACTACAACTTCCAAGCTCTTTAACCTCTCTGAGACTATTTAGACTGAACTCACTTTCCAACATTAGGTTTAATTCATCAATTGAAAAACTTGATGTTCAATACTGTTCATCATTATGCCCACTTAATCTCCCAACTACAATCAGTGAGTTGTCTTTTTCAAACTGTGCAAATTTTGTTCCATTAAACACAGAAGAATTAACAAATTTACCATACGGTGAACAGTTATTCTTAAAAAGTTTTCCAAGAAATCAATGTTTTCAGTTACCTTAACAAACTTAGCTATCAATTCGTTTTTCATCAAGAAATAATTCAAGAAGTTTGTACTAACGAAAGTAATAAAAATAGAACTAAAAGATGAATTAAATAAGATGAATTATTAGTAATTTTAGAAGGAGTTTTGTAGAAGAATAATTAAAGAAAAATTGTTGGAAAATCGTAGTTTGTAAAATAATAAAATTTTAAGTAAAACATAATATAAATTTAAACGTACTGCAACGTCTAAGAAAATAAAAAATAGGTTTTTCTTTAGTACTGACATTATCTAAATTGGTTCAATGCAACCTAAAAAAAATTATTTTATTCTTCAAGCAAATGACCCAACAATTAATGTTAGTTGGGTTAATTCAAATGTCCATCCTTTTAGAAGCGTTTATTCCACTTTTTCAGATTGTAGTAGGTCATACCTTCACCTTGTTGGATATGAAGAAGTGACTGACTCTATCAAAGAAATTACATCTTGTCCAACAACCTCATTACCATTCCCTCCTACTTCAATTAAGTTTATTCCTAAATCAAATCCAATTAATGATATGATAATAACGTCAGGTGATAGTCTAAGGTTATTTTGTGTTCCACAATCAAATGACATTTTTCAATTATCAGTGATTGATGTATCTTACTCAGCATATCCTTCATGTGGATTTGATTGGTGTAGGGTTAATACAGACCTTGTTTGTGCATGGTATTTAAATAACACATGTTGTGTCTGGAGCATTGAATCTTCTCAAATTATTGCTTCATTTTCAAACCATATTACTCAACAAATTCTTGATATGAAATATTCTCCATCCAGTCCTGATTTATTTATTACAAGTTGTGCTAATGGACTTATCCAAATAACTGATATTCGCTCATCTTCTAATTTTCAACTGTTCCCACAAGGAAATCAAAAACTAGACCTTCTTCAAGTGAGTTGGAATACTATTGACCCTACCAAAATTGCAACATTTAATTCATTAGGAAATCAACTCTTTATAATGGATATTAGACAACCAACAAAATTATATAATCGTCTACAATTAGACACAACAAATATTACTTGTATAGATTGGTCTCCTACATCATCTTCTGACATTTGTCTTGGTACGTTTAAAAGTATTTTAATATGGTCACAAAATTCTAAACTAAATAAACAATGCTGTTGTAATAATTTATTAGAGACTGAAACAAAAAGTGAAGTAAATGATGTTTGTTGGTCAAAATCAAATTCCAATTGGATAGCAGCATCAATTGGATCTTCAATTCATTTTCTTCATGTGTATTGATTAATTCATTTATTTTTTATTATATTTTGATAATAAAATTTGATTAACATCAAATAAATATGGATATTATTTCAAAGAAAGAAATGAATTAGTAATTGTATTGGAAGATTTGGACATCATAACCATTCATACAAACAGTAAGTCCAGTACTTTTTAAAGTAGCAGCATCTCTAGTATACTCAATATTAGTCATCATTTCTTTAACTTTAACATTTCCGCTTCCATTAATATCATAAATTGGAACATTAGCACATGAATAAGCATCAGAATAATTAACAACAACTAAATATGAATTGGTAGCTTTTCTTATCCAAGCAGCATATCTCCAAGCATTATCACCATTTACATTGTATACATAATAGAAATTCTTTGTTTTGAAAGCATCATCTTTAAGAATAGAAGTTAATTTATTATAAAATTGTTGGGCAACAGGAGATTTAGGTTCACTTGCACTTCTTCTTAAATGAACATCAAGTTTATTTTTTAATCCATCAAATTGTCCATGATTAAAGAAAATCAATCCAGGAAGAGTAGCAGCAAGAGCACCAGCAGCATTAGCACGAGGAACAGAACCCATATTTTGGACAGCTCTATTTTCATCATGGTTTTCAACAAAATGAGCACCATGGTCAAAGAATTCAAGAGTCTTATAATGGGCATAGTTTTGAATTTCTGATACTCCAGCCTCACATTTATCTAAAAATGGTTTATCATAATAATAGTCAAATCCACATTCTTGTAATTTAGTCATTTGCCATTCTTCATATACTTCTGCCATAAAGATAACATTTGGATTAACTTTCTTTGCTTCGGCAATAGCCTCTGTCCAAAATTCAGTTGATGGAGTTGAATATCCATTTGTTGTTAATTCATTTTCCCATACCTTAGAGAAAACATCATTAAGGTCAAGATGTGCCATATCACATCTTACACCATCAGATAAAGAAACTACTTTTTTTAAGTTTTCTGTCATAAATTTACGAGTTTTTGGTTCAAAATAATTCCATTGTGCTGTATCTGGCCATGGAGCAAAATATGGGTCTTTACCATGAGCAACACCATTAGGAAGATAATATTTTGGATCATAACTTGAGGCTTGAGCTGCTTTAACATAATAATCTGAATGATCATTAACAGTAGGAGCGTCACAAGCAGAATGGTTTGGAACGAAGTCAAGCATTAATTTAAGTCCTTTAGCATTTAACTGAGATTTTAACCAAGCAATATCATCATCACTTCCGATCTCAGGATTACAGACATATTCTGTAATAGCATATGGTGATCCAATAATATCATCTTCTGTTAAATCTGGAAGAACAGATTTGTAATTATCTGCATTAGATCTATCAAGATTTAATCCATATTCTCCTAATTGCCAAACTCCCATCATCCAAACATAATCAATACCTTTACTTTTTAATCTATCAAATTCTTCTAATGGAATATCTCTTAATTTAGTTATAGACTTTCCATATTTTTGTGTTAATTCATATAACCATGGTCTTGTTGAAATTTCATATACAACAGGATATTTTGCATAACTCAATGCACTAAGCATTAGGCACAAGAATCCTAACATTGTAATTTTTTAACTTTTTAGTTCTTTTTCTTTAAATTCTTTTTTCCTTCTTTTTCCATTTGGTTAGAATTTTCCTCTTTTTTTTTTCTTCTTTTTCTGTAATAATCACTCTCTTAATTATAATTATAATACAATTCTTTTATTATTAATTTATTATTTCTATTTTTCTACAGATTTTTTGAATTTTTCTTTCAAATGCAAATCCTTATTTTCAAGTCTATTTACAAAAACCTCTTATTTATTTTAAGAAATAGATTGAACTACAAAAATAACTTTTCTTCTTTGATTTTAATGTTATGAAATAAATAACAAAAATAAAGTTTTTTGGTATATTATAATAACAAGAAAATTCAATTTATTCTCATAATAGAAAATTTTTGTTTTTAAAAGAAATTAACAGAAATAAAACCAACAACAGATAGAAGATCATAAAAACAATAAAAATTATAAAGCATTAAAGTAAGTGATTAGTTTGTTTAAAGAACGGGGTGAATAAAGAATTCAAATTCATCATCAATAGTAAAGGCACTTGGACTACTTTCAATTAGTTCTGCAGATGTATCAGGAGAAACAGAGCGTTGTGGAGAAGATGGTGCAACTGTATTTAAAACGTCAAATCCATCTTCATCATCACTTTCAACATTTACTCTTCGGATAAATGATGGACGATAAAGCTCAGTCATTTAACTATTGTTTGTTTTACAAAAGTTAGTTTTTGTTTAAATATTGAAGGAGATTATCTAAACAAATTAGAAAAGAATCATCCCTTCTTTATATGTAATTATAGGTTCTTTATTAAATATTTGAAGAAGGTTTAATATGATATATTCTTTTTATCCCCGTGGAATTTTGTTTTTGTATATCATACCCTTTTCCTTTTTTGGTCAAACATTTTCTATATTTTATTTCACGGCCTTTTCTTCCTATGACTTTTTCTAAACAAAATTTAATCTACTTCTCTCATTTCACGGTGATTGAGATTTTCTCATATCATTTAATCATGACATAATCAAAACCATTTTTTGAAAAAAAGACTTTCTAAAATGTCTTTAAATTTCAAAATTGATAAAAAAAGAATTAAATACTGTTTTTGTAAATAAACAATTATTAATCCGTTTTTACTCCCATCTGTTCATCCTTGCTTTTTTTATTGCTTTTTACTGGTTTTTCAATTCTACGGTCTTTCAATAATAATTTACAACAACAGCAGATCATCAATAAATTCAAAAGAACACCTAAAACTAATAGTCCAATCCCTATATACAATGTTGTATTATCGCTTTTTTCATAATTTAAGAAAGCCATTTTTGTGTTTTCATTTTTTGGTATATAATGAACGTGAAACCCAAGACAGACTTCAAGTAACAATACAAAAAAAATAACCATGAAACGAACCTTTAATTAAATATTTATAAGTTCTAATAATTTCTTATTATTACTTTTATTATTAAAAAAAAAACTATTCTTTGTTTTCATTAAAATATTCTCTTATTTATACGCTTAAACAATTCTTAAAAAAAAAAAGAATTTTAAATACAAAATAATATACATTACTCTTCTGTATATAACTGAATCAATTCTTTCACTTTATTTACCCATTCTCTTCTATTTCCTTTGGCTATAACATCTTCAATATCTTTAGAAAATCCTTTTATTGTTTTTCTTTTTACTTTCTTTAATAATTTTTCTAATTCTTTCTTTTGTTGAATATCTTCAGATTGTTGAAGAATAAATTGTATACATTCTTTTACACTTTTCTTCCGTTTTTTTGGTTGTTCTTTCTGAAGCTTAATTTCTTTATTCCTTTTTTTATCTTCATCATTATTCCAAATACTTTTATAACACCATTCAATTCTTCTTTGTTTATATAAGATACGATGTATTTCTTGTTTTTCTTCTTCGGTTAGTTGTACTTGACGTTGTTCATTCCACATTTTTCTTTTCTTAATTCGTTTAAGACAATTTAATGATTCATCATGTTTAAGTTGTAATGTCCAAGAAGGTGCATTTAATAGTTTTAATTCTTTTCTAATCTCCTTTAATTTAGTCCATTGCTCCTTTTTTCTTTTATGATGATTCCAATTAACTTTATACCCTAATTTCCCACATTCTAGTTCAACAATCTGAACTTCCTTTCGTTTTTTCCCTTCAACTAAATTCCCATCAATCCAACACCTATTCCAAGGCAAGTCTAATAAATCTTCTTCCATTATTTGACTTTCATTTCTCCATTTTTCTTTTGTTTTGAGAAGTTCTTCACAAATTCTTTTGGCATCCATTCCACCATACCGCTTATCACAAGTTGAGAGAACACGTTTTTGAATAGAATCTGGTTGATTTATGTAATAAGAATATTCACCAGAATAAGCAGGTGGAATGTCAATAGACTTTTTCAAAAACACTTGACCTGCTGAGTATAAGTGATTAAATTCTTCTATTTTCCAATGACCATCTTTTTTTGTTAAAATAAAATCAGTTTGAGAAATTAATTGTTTTTGAAGGATAATTTTAGTTTCATCTGTACATAAACATAATCCTAAAAGATTATCTTCTTCCATCCAACAATTACAGTACAATGGAAGTGGTGGATCATCTATTGTGTACTCAATCAAATAATTATCTTCTTCTAAAATTAATTGTTTGTGGGAATTTTGATATGGGATAGTCTCATTTGGTTGTTCTTTATTTGTTGTCTCATGAAAATCCCAATTGTTTACCATTTCAAGTAAATATGTTAAATTCATTTGGTTTGTATCAGAATCCCATACAATACCTTTTTCCCATTCAATCCTATTGATAAAATCATTCCAGTACTTGATTTGATAATTTTTATCTTGTTGTTTAAATTTATCTTGTTGTTCTTTATTAACATCCCATAAAACAACCCAGTCTTCATAATCCTCATTTTGGGGTAATTCCTTCATTTCTAATTGTTTCATGACTGAATTTGTAATTTTAATTGTATTAGAACAATTAGAAGAAGGGGATTCTCTGATAAGTAATGAATGAAAAGGATGTAACAAATAATAAGGTATTTCTTTGAATGGAGGGTGGTCTTGTTGATAAATAAAACTCGGTCGTAATTGGTTATTACACCCAATCCAATTAGGTTTTTTCAAAGGAAAATGAATAAGATCAAAAAATGTAAGTAAAGTAATGTTTTTATTTCTTGGGATCATTGATTAAATGTATTAAACTTCATGTCTTTTCAATTCACTTTGCTAATGACATCTTGATTTTTTTAAGATTTTTGATTTGATTATTTTGTGATAATGAACTTATAATAATAATTAGTTCATTGTTTATAAATAGTTGTAAATATTCTTCAATGAAGAGGATTTTTTTGAAATGATATGAAAATAGATACAATCATCTATTAATCAAAAAAGAAAAGAGTAAAGGCCTTTGAAATCCGTTGATAGTATTGAATAATACATCAAAATAGAGTAAATAATTGGGAAGAGAATGGAATTTAGTTGGCACTCAATAAAAAGAAATCAATGAGTGAAAAAAATAGAAAAATTAATTTTTGTAAAAGAAAAAGAATGAGATGGAACAAAATTAGTAAATTCCAATTAAAACGACTGTTTGTTTCAAAAGAACTTGAAAATAGATATAAAAAGATAAAATCTGAAATTAGTTAGTTTATCTCAGCATTATTATGTCAATTGCCAAATCATTAGCAAAACCCATAGCTCAGCATCAGTTTTATTATGATAGGTTTGTGAATTTAATATTTAATAGTTTTATAAAATATAATAATAAGAAAGTCTTATATAAATTAGTACTTCTTCTTCTCTTATGGAAGAATCATATGGTTCAATACGAAGTAGTGCGTTTGGTTATTTCCAAATCACAAAAGATTGTATTCAATCAAGTACAGACCAACAATCTAGTTATGAAATAATAGTTCCTCCAAGAAATTCTAATCCAATTCCAATGGATTCTAGTTTTAATTTTGAATGTGGAAGTTGTGATTCTAATGCCTCTTCATATTGTGGAAGTTTTTTTCAACATGATGGGTTTCTATAATGATGCTGTTTGTATTTAATTTATTGAATATTCTCCTTATAATTTATGTTACAAGAATTTTTATTATTTAAATGGTTTCTTTTAAAAATTTATACATTCAAAAAGTTTGATTCTTATCAAGTTATTTTTAAATTATTTTTTATTTATAAAATAATGTTATAAATAACATAAATAAAGAACTATAAAAGTAACTTAAAAAAAAGAATAAATAACAATTAAATGAATAAAACAATTCTTAACACTCCACAACCACCAGTATCTGATTATTTAGAATGGGTTACATATTCAATATTAGTTCATGAAGTTGATGAAAAATTTGAAGGAATAAGAGAGAAATTAAAACAGTCATTAGCTGAGTCATATGGAACAATTGAAGGAGTAGAAGAGAAGAATTTTAAAAGTATGTGTGTGTCTAATGCCATTCATATTTTAACACAAAGTAATTATAAAAATGAAGTAATAAAATATTCACAACGATGTGATTGGCCATTATTACATTTATATATTATATCAAATAATGATAATGATGGATTAAAAAAAATTAGAACAATTATAAGAGATTGTACAATTAAACAAATTCAAATTATTGTTATTGCAATTGGAGGAGAATTAAGAAATAATAAAAGATTTAATAATGAATCAGCTGAAGTAAAATCTTTTTATTTACAACCACAACTACCTGATTGTGATGTACAAATTAAAGAATTATTAAGTGTTATAGCTAAATCAGTAGTAAATAATTATGAAGTTTATTTAAAAGAATATGAAGAAGAAATTAATATTAAACCAAATAATAAATACCTTGAAGAAGCTAAAAGATTTGCATCATTATGTTTTGAAGCATCTATTCTTTCACAAAAAGTTGGAGATTATACTAAAGCAGTTCATTTTATTAAAATGGGACTTGGTCAATTAGATGTTTCAGGAACAAGTGTTGATGAAGATATTAAAATATTAAAAAATAATGTTGTTAATTTAAAAGAAATTAATTTTAAAAGAGAATTAGAATTAATTACACCACAAAGTGTATATACAGCATATAATAGATTAGAAGCATTTATTTTTATGATTTATAGAATGATTGATTTATATTCTAATCAAAAAAATTATTCATCACTTTGTATAAGATTTAATCAAGTACTTGGAATGATGGAAAAATATTTAGAAAGAATAAATCAAAATGGAATTACATTACCATTTTTATATAAAGAATTATTTATTATTGATAGTTGTAATTGTTTTTTAGAAAGTAATATACAATCATTAAGTCATTTTAAATCAACAGATATTATTTTTATTTATATGTATAAAATGTTTACTATTAAACACATCGGTGAAACTTGTTTTACTTTTGATTGTTCTCCTGATTTTATTCATTTTGATATGGATTTTGTTCATAAAGCACCTCCATTACCTGAACAAGTAAAATTACCAAATTGTAAGAATTCTATTTTACCTGATATTATTAAAAAAAAAGAAATATTTGATAGAGAATTTGAATTGATTTTAAAACAATGTATTGAATTAACTCCAGAAAATTATAATAGAAATGGAACTAATTTTCTTTTTAAAAAATTACTTGGATTATTATATTTTGAATTAAATAGAAGAGATGAAGCAAAAGAATTATTTAAAGAAATTATATTATCAAATACTGCAGATGATATTACTAAATGTTTTTGTTGTATTCCTGCATTACAATGTAATTGTGATAATACTTTACTTTATGCAATATATATATTTTTATTAACTTATCATAGAGAAGATATTACTACAGTTTATAAAAATGTATTTAAACAAAATAATGATATATTAAAAGTTATTCAACAATCTACTATTTATTTACATTTAAATGAACTTCTTTCGAATTGTAAAGAAAATATAAATCTTTGTATTCCAGAATTTATTCATTTCTTTTCAATTAATGTTACACAAGGACATGTACAATTTTCATTTGAAAGTAAGTTTAAAGAAGAATTAAAAGATGTTAAAATTGAATTATTATATAAAAATAAAATAGGAGATTCTTCTTCAAATATAAATAATGTAACAATAAATCCACATGACATTATTAGATTAGATTTTGATTTAAATCTTGTTGGATTAATTACTTTAAATCAAATGAATATTTATTTAAGTGATTATTTATCAATAACTATTCCTATTAATCAACAAGTAATGGTTAGAACAAGTAAACCTCAATTTACTTTTGCTTTACAACCACCAACATTTATTCCTTTATTTTTAGAAGATTGTAATCAATCAGTTGTGATGACAATTAATATCATAGAACCAGTTGATTATATTGCAATAGATATTGACTGTCAATGTTATAATAGAAAAGACATTATTATAAAAGGAGCAGAATATGAAGATTCACAAAATATTTTTATTCTACGTTCATTTAAAGATAAGAAAATTATTATTGAATGTCCATTAAAAAATATTATTGAAGAAGGTAATTATGAATTTAGTGTTATAGCAACAGCACCTTTATATATTCATCGACAAAAAGTAAGTATTCCTGCATTCCCATTAATTAATAAAATTCAAGAAGGAGTTCCAGTAATGAGAAATGGAAGATTATTAATATCACTTCCTATATTAAATATTTGTCCATATTCATTGTTGCTTCATTCAATATCATTTGATAAAACAAATTATTTAATAACTATTGATGAAATGTTACCAGTAGGAAAAGAAATAAATTATACAATTGATGTTACAGGATTAGAAAAAACAACAAAATTAGATTTATTAATTCAATTTAAAAATGGAGTGTTAAGACTTCCATTTACAATTTGTTATTCACCTCCAAGTTATAATGTTAAAATTGAAGTACCAAAAATTGTAAGATGTTTAAAACCATTTTTATTAACAGCAGTAATTCAGTCAAATAGAAAAGAAGATGAGTTAATTATTATAAAAATAGATAAATCACCAAATATCATTATTAGTGGATTTGAAAAACAACATGTTATTATTAAAGCTGGTGAAACTATTACTTCTCAATATGAATGTATTGCAATGGACTGTGGTTCTTTATTATTGCCTAATATTATTTTATCATCAGAAAGAAGTTTAATGCATGTTTCTTATGAAAAAGATATTTCTTCTTTAATTGTTCTTCCATTACAATCAAACTTTTATTCATTTGCTTCTTTTAAATGAATTTTAAATTAAATAAAAAATATTTAACATTTTAATTGATTTTTATTTGATTAAAAAGTACAATTGTGTATTATTCGCTTTGTTTTGTCTTCTCTTTCTTCTTTTTTGAATCAATTTCTAATAATTTTCTCATCTTAAAATTTTCAAACATTTGAGTTTTTACAAATTGTTTGATAAATAAAAGATCTTTCTCTTCCCACCATGCAAAAAATACTTCTGGCATAAAACATGAAATATCTTCTTTACCATGTTCTTCATATACACTTTTAATACAACAACATGGAAATGGTTCAATAATAATTTCCATAGCTTTTTTAAATACGTCCATAATATGTCTTGTTGTTCCAATTTCATTTTCTATTAATTGTGTTTGTGGTAATTGAATTTTAGTATTTCTTTTAGGAGACTCATTTAATGTTCTATTAATTTCTTCTGCCACCCATCCATTTGCATTTGGTAATAAAAATGTAATAGGGGTTATAAATTTTTTATTGTCTAAATCAGCAATGAATGTATATTCTTTTGTTATTGGTATATTCGTTGGGAGATGTGTCATTCCTACTAATAAAGGTGTCGGTGCTTCTAAAACAGTATAAAGTTCAGGACATAAAACAGATATAATAGAACTCTCAAATTTAAATGGTGTAATTGATGAAAGAAGAAAATGTATTGCTGCTGAAATTAATAATAAATTCTTTGATACTAATAAAATCTTATGTTCTAACATAAATGCTGTTACCATTTTAAGTAAATCTAAAATGTTATATTCTTCAAATAGTGTTAATAGATATAATTCAGAATAGTGATAAGTTAATGGCATATCACAACAACAATCATAAAAAAATTCATTTGTTTCATTAGGGAATTTAAAACTAATAGTTTGGGTTGAAGGGGTTACTGTGATTTTTTGATAATCTGTAAAAACTGAGATTAAATTTTGAATAGAGTTTAAGACTAGTCCAGAGTTATTTGTTTGTGTTGAGTCAATTGAAGAAGATATAAAATCATTTAAACCAGAATCCATTAAAATATTCTCTAACAAATGGTAATGTATTTCAAAGAAAGGAACTGATGTTAATAAAATATAACATATATTTTCTGTTTCATATTCTTTTGGATCTCTTGATATAAAACGTTTTTTTCTTAGTCCGATAGCAAACAATTCATTCCTCTTTCCAGGAAAAACAAATGAAAAGACTTTATGATAATGAAGATGATCACAGTAAATTTTTTGTTGTGCAGTAATCAAATCTTTTTCTTTTTGACGAGTTCTTTTCTTACGATAAGTGACATCAGGAAAGCAAAACTGTTCTAATAAATTATAAGAAAATCCATCCAACCTAATTATTAGTTCTTGCAAATGTATTATTAGTACTAAAGATAATAAAACAAACGAAATTGAAGGAAATTGAAAAAGAATTTTTGGTTTTACAACTCCAATCTTCTTTTTATATCCACTTGACTGATAATTTGGTTGTTCTGCAGCATCAGAACCAATTATTAAAAATTGTTTAACTAATGGTTCTTCTTCTAATGCAGGAGAGTTTAACTTGAGTGATTTGATAATTTCTCGATTTATTCTCTCATCTTCAAACTGTTGTTGAATTTTTTCACATTGTTTTTGTTTGGAACTCATATTGAATTCAAACTATATTTTATAGTGCCTTTTTGTATTTGCAAATTTTAATTTTGGTTTTTTTAAATTATAATAACAGAACTAAAAATCAAATTTCCTTCTTTCATTTTTATTGTAGAAATTATATTGGTCTAAATATTAAACAACTTCTTAAATCACAAATAATATTGCTTTGGTATTTGAATTTAATTACTTTTAATATTTTGGTTTTAGTTTTCTTTAATGTAATTGTTTATCATTTAATTTTTTTCTTTTAAGAACAAGAATTATTGTTATTAAATGAACTTTACTTTTCAATAACACAAATTCGTTTCGTTGTACAGTTAAGTTAAGACTCTTCGCATTATTGAAAATATCCGTTTCTATTATTAGAACATAGATTTCTCAATACAACTCAAATTACTGAAATAGAATACTATTTCCTTTTCTTAAATACTTTATGGAACTATTTTATGTATTTTTTTCTTATTTGTTGCTTTACTATTGTCTTCTTTTAAGACAAGCACAAGTAAAACTGTTTATTCAGATTAAGACATATTCTTTATTAATATTTTGTTGTTATTTAATTTAATATCTACATATTGTTTGATAAAAAATATATTTTGATAAATATAGTTTAAATTACACTTATGCTAATTCAACATTGTCTGATTTGAAGTGTTTGACTTAAATACTTGTTTCTTTTTTTATATAAGTTTTTGTGAATAAGCCAAAACTGTGTTTCCTTAAATTAAATAAACACTTTTACTTATAAAATACTTTGTGATAAGAAAAAAAATATCACTTAGAATTGTGTTTAAGACAATACGAAGAATAATGATATTCAAACTTATTATACTTGTCTGTTCATGATATAAAGTACAAAAATTCTTTTAAAATTAATACTTAACGTACATTATATGTAATAAAGATAAGAATAAAAAACAATAATTAGAAAAGATAATTGTTTTGAACAATAAACACAATACAAATTAAA